AAAAGAAAAAAGAACCACAATTTACATAATGGAGAAAATTATTTCACATCCCTTAATTCATCCCATATGTATATTACGTTATTCGAATTTAAGATTTTTTTGTCCTATTAAAATGAAATTTCATTGAATTATTTAAATTCTTGACAAATTATTGGTTACTTAAGTATTATTTTAAGTCAATAATAGAAGTAAAAGACCAAATTTATCTTGCCAGTAATGCTAGTGTCACTAAAATGGGCATTTTGATCATACAAATAAATAACATAGGCATTTAAAAAGTAAAACAAAATAAAATAGGTGTAATATTTTGCATATTCTCGTGCTCCCATGCCATAGGGGAGGAAGGGAGAATTAGTTGATAAGAATATGAGAGTTTAAATTAGATTTCTCAAAATTTAAGATTAACTAAGAGGAATGGGAGAAAATGAGAAGACTATACATTGTTGTTGATTGTATAATTATGTAGCACATAAAATTAAAAGTCAGTGAATAATAACCTAAACGTATATGGTCAAATTGAATGGAGCCTTAAGAGTTTTTATTTTGTTTTTATGTTGGATTGTAGTGTAACATTTTCATTTTTATTAACCTATTTTATTTATATATCACATAACTTAAATACAAAATTAATATACTTAAGTGGTTGGCGTGTCTTTAGTAATGAAATTTGGGTTAAGTACAAAGAAACTGTTTACATGAAAATTCTTCCGATTTAGTAACTTCTTAAGGAAGCATTCGATCACCTCTCCGATCTTTCCCCTCCTTTCGCGTGGCCATATATATATTTAATTTCAAATCCATTGTGGCAATTCTAACGCGTAATAATTTCATAATAATACATGCTGATGAGTTTTCTCCGCAATTCCTTCCCAAAATTTTAAATGCAATAATACTTTTTAAATTGAGAAGAACGTCGGTTTAGATATGGTTGACTATTCTTCTGGTGGAAAGCCCTGATGGGCTACTGTGACCTAACTTGTGAAGCTTCCTCTTCCTTCGTCCAAATATTGTCTTCACTAGTGGTCTTATGGAGGAAACCTAAAACCAATGAGAAGTCAAGTAGCTGTGGACCAGGTCTAAATATGTGGTGAATTTCCCAGAACGTAGAAGACGAGTCTGAGGCAGAGGAGGAATTTGAGGCACAGAAGGAATGGCCTTGTACTTCTTATTTCTTTATTTGATTTTGAGTGGCCTAGTTGTTGTTGTCTGATAAATCCTTGAATATCGTTTGGGCTCAGCACCTTTGGTAATTCCGGGCCTAATACTTGGAAACGTTAGAGCCTCCCGAACAGATGAATGGCCTAGGCCCAAAACATGGGCCAGTTCATCTAGCCTCCAGAGGTTTTCAGAATGTGAAGTTGGCTTAAGTTTCGATTGCAGACATCGTAATTTCGTTGCAACGATCAAATTTAATGTTCAATTATCCAAATATAGAGCTAAGGATCCAATTGCACAACCTTATCCGCAGGACGGCGTGCGTATGCTGTTAGGATAAGCAAAGAATACGAATTACGTACATTTTATTCACTTCTTATATTATTTTAAAAAGATAATCGTCATTTTTTTAATTAAAAAATAAAACAAAAAATAAATAATTAAAAAAAAAAAATAAATTATTAATATTTTGTATAAATATATTTTAATTCTCATAATTAGTAATTAATATGATTTTATATAAAATCATATTTTTATATATTTAACTCTTAAATAAAAATAAATATAAAAATCACCACCACATTATTGTTTTCTTTAGCATAGGACAAAACTCGATGAAAAGAACTAAAAGAAAACTCAAGCAAAAACTCCAAAGTCCTAAAAGAATGATAAACTCTCACAACAAATAGAGAACCCTTAAAGGGAGGGAAACTCCCTACTTTATTCATCCCCCCTAAAGTCATTGAGGGGGAGGGAGCTAGCTATTAGGGGGAGGAGGGAAGAAGCAAAGAGGGCATAAACTTTGGTAGAAAGAGGGAGAGAGAGGTGCTAGCTGCTATGGGTCTTTACAAATACAGAGGATAGTGAAAAAAATCTAATACTCCTTTCGTCCAATGGTAGTCATGTTTTGACTATTTTACTTTACAGTAAAAAAAAATTTGATAAAATTTTAATATAATAAATGATTGTGTGATGTTTTGAATTTCACATTTAAAAAAAATATAGTAAATTTGATATATCAACAATTAGTTATTATTAATAATTTAAATTTAGACTTTTCAAGTTCTATAGACTTTAAATTGATGAGTTATTAATTAATTTAGCAGTAACTTTCATCATTTCGAGTCATTTCAATTAATATCAAATGTGACCTCATGCGCATGCACTTCTGAGTTTCAACTTGAAGTCAGAGAAATTGCAACACCCAAATTTTACGCTAATAATGTTCATAAAAATTAAGAATCTAATTTATTTCAATGTAAGCGTCCTGTACCAGGTACGGGTATTCTCTGGATACAATGAATTCTGAAACATTGCAGAATCTTCTTCTCCTGCATTGTGAGGCATTTCGTTGAGAAGTTGAAAAAGTTGGAT